TTTCAAGGAATAGAATATAAGTACTTTCTACCCCAAAACCCCAAAACCCCGAAGTGTGAGAATTATAAGTTTTTGTAGAAAATAGATTTAAATTATAAACTTTTAAAATGCCTTCGAATGTAAGGGTGGCTGTTAGAATGAGGCCACTCCTCTCTAATGAGATAACGGCAGGACACAAGCAATCGCTAGTTGATGTGAATCCGATCACCAATCAAATCTCGTAGGTTCTTGCATTAAGATTGATAATTAGACTATAGGGTTTGCTAGGATAGTGAAGATCCGTCTAAGATGGTCAAGAAAACCTTTAAGTTTGACAAGATAATTGATTCACAGTACTCTCAAGAGGAAGTTTTTGAGCAGCTTCAAATAAAGCCATTGATTTCCAAAGTCATAGAAGGTTTTCATGCCACTATTTTTGCATATGGACAGACTGGCTCTGGTAAGACATTTACTATGGAGGGGTATAAGTATGAGGATGCCAAGACTAATGAAAGAGCAGGCAAGCCAGTTATAGCTGAAAATTACAATAATGGTATTACCATTAGAGCTATAAGAGAGGTTTTCAGATAGGCAGAGGAGTATAAGAAGGAGAAACATATCACAATATCTTGTTCATTCCTTCAAATATACAATGAAAAGGTGTTTGACTTGCTTAACGCAGGGTTGCTTAAGTCAGACAAGGCTAAGTAGAATTAAGGACTAAAAATTAGATGGAACAAGAATGATCAGTTTTAAGTAGAAAACTTGTATGTCTTTAGATGTGACACCCCAGAGCATGCTTTGGAACTTTATAATAAAGGCATCAAGAATAAGATTGTAGCATCACACAATCTGAATCAAGCTTCTTCCAGATCACATGCCATTTTCACTCTAAGCATAGACATAGTTGATAACGCCTAGGTCGATAACATTGTGTAAAGTAAACTGCAACTTGTAGATTTGGCAGGTTCGGAGCGTCAATCAGCAACAGGCACCTCTGGACTTGCTTAAAAGGAGTCTATCGACATTAATAAATCTCTATTCACTTTGAGAAAGGTCATAACTGGGTTGGCTGAGAGTTCTCGCAGCAAAAAGGGTGCTAATAACTAGCATATTCCTTATAGAGATTCGAAGCTCACTTGCTTATTGAAGTAAAGTATAGGTGGTAACTCCTATTGTCTAATGATAGCATGCCTTTCTCCTTCGGATCATTACATAGAGGAGAATATATCAACTTTAAACTATGCTACAAAAGCCAGTTACATCTCGAACGAACCAATTAAAAATGAGGATCCGAAGATGAAGATGATCAATGACTTGAAGCAGAAGGTCCTTAATTTGCAGAGAGAACTGGCTTAAGCAAATAATCACATAGAATTCCTTAGTAATTTAACTGGTCAACCAATACCTTAGAATAGTCAAAGCACTAATGTTTCGACACTTAATTAAAGCTACTAAGGTGATTAAGTAGATCAACCTAGCATGATACAGCAGTAACCGGTATCTTAAGCTCATTAGTCTGACAATCTTATTCATCAGTAAAAATAGCCAGTCAAGACAGAAGTTATCACTAAAATAGTATATCAATAGCAACCTCAATAAAACTCTTCTGGTGGCAGCTAAGATATGTTCAATCGTTTGGATCAAAACTAACTAAGTTAAAGATTGATAGATAGCGTTGCTATGGTCAAAGAACTTATGCAATCAAATAAGACACTTAGAGAAACGATGGACTAACTCAATGAACATAATGATAAAAACTCTAATGAACTCTTCCACTTGCAGATTGAAAATAGAGATCTTAGAGATAGAATTGAGATCCTTGAGTCTGTAATTGGTTCATCAACAAAGCAAAGTGAATTTGATCAACTAGATTGGCGTGATTTGATCATGGAAGCTGAGGAGAAAAAAAAGCCAATGACCTCAATAAAGACGAGTAATATTGCTATAAATGAGATGGCAACCGAATTGATTGCGACCAAGAAGCAGAACAGATAGCTCTCTGAAGAGATTGACCAAATAAGATAACAATTAGAAGAATCACATCAAAACTAAAACAAGATTATCCAGTAATAGTAAATTCAATAACAGGCTTTGTATTAACAGTAACAACAGCATCACTATTAATAGTAGTAAATGTCGAACCAGTAATAACTGATGAATATTTATGGAGCTTAAAATAATGATACACCTTAGAAAAGATCTTAATCAAATGGATTTAATAAACCAAGCGGTGGAGGATAAGTTAAATAACCTCAAACTAAATAAGAAGCTTTGAAACTCCTAAATGAAATGATGAATAAGCGTGTGGCCCAGAAGAAGCATTGAATTCCTAGAGTTAGCATGGAATGTCTGAGTTCACTAATAACTGAATTAATTGTAGGATTTATGAAATTAAGAAATTATCTTTACTTAAAATTAAGTTAATCATATCACATTAGCATCATGTATTTAGTTAATTCTAATCCTAGGTAGCTATCAACTTTATTCAGGCTCAAAGTCTTTCCTCTTTATATTCCAAACGCAAATATCACCTTTGTCTCCACCTGTAATTATATATTTGCCATTTGGGCATATTCTCATAATTTTGGCTTCTTCATGAAGAGTTTTAACTTCGCTTGTATTCTATTCATTTACTAGATCAATCATCTTTATTATGCTATCAGCTTAGAGTACTATGAAAAACGGAGAGTTAGGAGTTATTCCTAGAGCCACAGGTTGAGACATGAGTTCTATTTTTTTAATAACCTGATGCAGTTCAAAATTTCTCATGAATATGTAGTTACATTTTTTTATGAACCCAAGATAGATAGTCAAATCCATATTTGAAAAAATTCCTTCACAGAGATTAGCTTCTTAAACCTCATTGTATACCATATTTCTCTTTGAAATTGAATAATAGTGATCAAGAGTGTTGCATCTCTTGGACTCTGTAAAGTTGTTGTCAACATAGTCTAGGGTATTAAAAGAGTCCATAAAGTTAAATTTAGGTGGATTTTCTTCATCAAAAATTTCTTATTGGAATGAATTGAAATCTTTTCTGTTATAAACTATTAGTTTGCCATTAGCTGTTCCGATAAGCCATTTGTTATAAGGTTCAAGATTAGAAACATCAAATGAGTTTATTGAGGTATTTACACTAGCAAGTTATTCAATTTTGATAGCTAGTGGATCCCATTGCTGTACAAAGATCAAAACTATTTGACCATGTTTTGATGCTCCTAAAATATGATTGCCACTAGGTAAAATTCTGAGTGAAATCAAATGATCAGTAATGCTTTTCTCCTAATCTGAATAGATCTAACATCTTCCAAGGTTCTTTGATTTATTTACCTCAAAGAATCTAATAAAACCATCTGTGAACGAACTAACCATGTATGGTTTGAATTAATGCATAGCTATAGCAACACATTCCTCCTTTGGAACAATAAATTGCAGTTGAAATTCACAGTCAAACATATTCCACAGCTTGATAATACCATCTTTCCCACTACTTGCTATCATATAATTCTGATCGAATTGGTAAAAATCTGATTGCTCTTGAATGATTTGGATCTGATTAGGAGGGATATATTTGTAATCGAAACTGTTGATTTGGTATTGAGGATTGTGGCAACTCTTCAATTTTACAGTGGCCATTTCTGTCCAGCTCATAAACCATATGGTTCCAGATGATGATGAGATCATGCATTCATTTCCACTTTCCTCGTAACATACTCCTCTTGGAAATCCATCAAGAGTCAAGTTTTACTCCTTGTCTAAGAAGAATGATTAAGGATCCCCAGCGTTAAAATCCCCTTGTCCTTGAGGCCAGCAGTGAATAATCGTGTCTTGATTTCCTTCAATTATGATTCTCGAGTAAGTGGTTATTATATGTCTGATTGATGAATCAATCACCTTTACAGTATATATAAACTGATTAGCTCTAGAATCTAACACCCAAACATAACCTGTATTCAATCCAATTAAGAGATAGCAAGAAATTTGCTCTGGTGTAGGAACAACAAACTCTAAAGATGTAAATTTATCCTCTTTGCTTGAAAAGGGATCCTTTTTCTTTGGTATATCTCCCTCTTAATACTAAAGATTAAGAGTATTAGATATCTTCCAATAATGATATTTTCTATCACTAATGGTTACAAATTCATTTGACTCAGGCAAGTAGTAATTCCATCTGCCATCTAGAACAGTAATAGGAAGTTAACTTTTGCAAAGTATATCTTTATGTCCTTCAAGAAAGTCCCAGACACTTATTGTTGATATCACTCCTTCATTTTAATTTTGGACATTTTTATCCCCAGTTGAAAAAATATTATTAGAAGATCGACTGACTACTAATAGCATGTTGGAATGAGCTGAAAATTCCAAAGCCATTATTTCAGAATCATTGATAGCTATTTGATTAATCTTTTTAAGAGTTGCAGCATCCCATACGTAAATCATTGGAAAGCCATCTAAATTTCCAAATTTGCTAAATGCCAATAGTGTCCTACCATTTGGTGATAGTTTGATTTGGAATATCTTGTCATTCCCTTCTTTTAAGAGTCTTTGAGTCTTTTCTTAGCTAATGTCCTCAACAATTACTATATTTTAAGAACTGTAGCAAATATATCTCTATTCCTTATTCCAAACAAGATTATTTTTTATTGTTGTGTCTGTTGAGCAGCTAAGTACTTTCTTTAATTCAATATCATATTGCTCGAATCTATATCCTGATTTGTTATATTAGATTAGTGATTGCTAGGTTAATCCATAGGGAGTAGTCGTGGTTTTTATTTACTTCTGAGTCAATCCTTAAACAAAGGGGTTATTTGTCAAAGATGCTCCTGTCATGCCATAATCTCTAGCAAGGTCATTATCGTTACCTATTCCAATTTCATTTAAGCCTTGAGTGTTCTATTGAAGCATTTATTAATAGTCTTGGATTTATTGCTGAGTTACTCTCATTAATTCCTCATCTGAAAAGATTGGCTCTTATTCCCCAGCATTTTTCTAAGATTTTGCATTAGTATTGATTGAATTATTGATTGTTTTTTATTTTGGTTTAAGCTCCTCAAAATATTTGAATATTTCAATTGGCATTTCTTTGTCTCCATTGAACATCCACCTGTATACACCATTGCCTTCACCGATTGAATATACGAATCTGAGATCATTTTAGGCAATGACTTTTATTGGATATTTGAAGTGACCAAGGAAAGCTTAACAGCTTGCAATAACATCCCCTCTCATAAAATAGTCGTATACTTTGATTATTCCTTCTCTGCCAGCAACGAAAATGAACTTATTATTAGCTGATATTTCGAAGTCTAAACATTCCATATCAGTTACACCATAAGATTCCTTCATAAACTATAACTCATTAAATGTTGTTCTGTAGAATTTAAGTTTTGAGGAGGTGGTTAGGAGTACTAGATCACGAGAATTTGGAGCAAACTTGATCTTTTAAATGATGTCTCCAGTTATATCGAGATGATACTTAAGAGAGAAATTCTTAGTTTCCCAAACAGTGATGTTATTGGCATTAGATGAAATATTGGCAAGATACTTTCCATCAGGAGAAAATGTCAAACTGAAATAATTGTCATTTGGAAAATCATAATCAATTGTCTTTATTGGTTGATATCCCTTCTCTATGTTGAAGACTACTATCTTAGAGGATTTATAAAAGATTCCCATGAACGAATTATCAGGAGAGTACTGGATGTCCATCACAGGACTTTCATAAATCATAGTCTCAGCTGTAAGTTTGCTTTGCTAGAGATCGAATATTCTCACAAAGCCAGACTTGAATCCTACAGCTACTGTACAGTCTAAATGACTTGAAGTAATTTTTATAGGAATGTCGTTCGGGGCGGTGAATTCATTTTCCAAGTCCATAGTCTCAGCATTCCAGATCTTAATGTACGAATCTAGAGCTATAGTAACTAGCTTCTAAGTCGCTTGGTTGTAACATAGATCAGTGATATTTTCCTAGTGAGATCTTAAAATTACATTAAATGTAGACTGTTCTAGGTCCAATACTGATACCTATCCTTACTGACTTAAAACAACAATTTCTTTCTAAGTTGCGTTTACATCACAATCAACAATTTGCTACTGTGTATTAACTTCAGATATAAGTCTGGAGAAATCTGGAGACCAAATACGTAAGATGCCATTGATAGAACTTGTCACACAGAAATTTCTCTCAGGGGATAGATTAAGTGAAGTGATTCTATCTTCGTGAATCTAAATGATTTTATCTACTTGTCTAGTGGCGTAGTTAGCAAAGTATAAAAGACCACAAGTGGTTGTGACATAGATATAGCTAGGCTTTTTCTAACCTTTTTCATTAAGAGTGAAATCAACTACGCTATGATTGAAAACTTTGCCCCTCCCAGTGTTGTTCAAGGTTACTGACTAGCCTGGGAGATGATTATTCTTGATCTTGTAAATTCTGATATTTTCTTTGCCGCAACTGACTACAGATTAGCTTGAGACGTCATTGAATCTCAAATCTGTAACGTCAAAGTCTGATAATTATCTTGCTAACAACTCAACCTTTTTGTACTTCAGCATATCTGGAAGTGAGTAAACTAAAATGAGATCTCTTTTCTAGAAGTCTTTACCAGACAAACAAAGCAGAGTGTGATCTAAATTAATGCTGATTGAATTGATGCTAAGCAATGGTGGCTTAAAAGAGAACAGGCAGCTAGCATCTTGCACATCCCATATAGTAAGCTCGTAGTCTTTTTGGCTATCATCAAGTGTGCTCTTGCTCGTTGTAAAGGCATAGTTTCCAAGCACGTAAAGGTACTCAATCACATTAGTCTGATGGTCATAGAATAATCTTTACTTCTAAGTTGGTGGATAGTAGCCTAAGAGTAGATTCGCCTAAGAATATAGAAACTCTTTTGATAACTTGGCATCTTTATTGTAGAAGATTTGACCTGACTGATATCTGGGATGCATGCCGATGACTCTATCTAATCTCATTATAGGATTAGGCTTAAGAACGAACTTCTCGTTGGGATCAGAGTCAAAGCCGAGAGTACGGGACAATTAGCCTTGAGGTAGGTTGCCCTCAGTCTAGTACAAAGTAATCTATGCATTTGTGTTTATGTTCTTCTGCTCTAATTCATATTTATATTAAGTCTTGATATCGTCTATTTAGCTCATAGTCTTCTCAACCCCATCTCTGCCATACAATATTTCATCAGGAGTAGGCTAGTAATTTTAAGTTTCTTGCCTATATTCGTTAAACTATCCTTCAATGTCTCTTTGCAAGTCTTCTTCATCCACATTGTATTACTAATAGCTGCTTGATGATCCTTTTACTTCTTCTAAATCACTGTTAAGATTAGGCTACCTCATTACCTCTCCATTGAACTTCACACTTTTACCGACTTTCTTATTGTTAGCTAAATTCTCAGATGATTACTTTCTAATTATTGACTTTGGCCTCTTAGTTTGTGGACTTTCTTCTTTGATATTCTCAGGCTTGGCAGAAGCACCTGCTTTCACCAAAGAAGTCTGCTATTTCAGTTCTTTCTTTGGTCTATTTGAGATTTTACTCTTATTTTCTTTGTTCACAGTCTCTGTTTGAGGTGGTTGATGTTACTACTGACTATCTTGGTACTACTCACCTTACTCTTGTGGAAAGTCAATCCATGAGTACTATGCGAACCAATCTTTATCCTTTGTGTTTTTCATTGCCATCTCTTTCGGCAGTGATTGAACAGTATATTTTATATCAGAGGTGTACATTCCTTTTATCTGAAGATTAGCAATGACTTAGAGTGATCTAAGAAAGAAGGCGTGCTTCTACCCAGACTAAAAGACCTAGTTTTACTCAAGGATTTAATATGCATTGAGACTTATCATGCACCATTTGTTGTAAGGCAAATTCAAAGGCACTTGCAGAGCATTACCATTCAGATTCTAAGTAAATTGACAAGATTAATGATGATTACCTTGAACTCTTTGTAGATATTAGAAATTGATAGTCTTACTAGTCTAGTCTCATTTACCATATAGTCTAGGTGTATCACGAAGGATTTACCTGCAGGTACATTTATCGTCGCATAAACCTAAATATGTTGTATCATACTGGAAAGTTATAAATACATATTTGCCTGTAAGACCAAGTGACTTCTTAGGCAGGTTCTTTTGTGCTGGAAGCATGAAATAGTTACTTGCTGGAGTGACTCCACTGATCTTAAGCACATTCTTGGATAGCTCCTTATCATAGATTTCAGAAACATCTCCCTCTTTATGAGCAAGTGACCACTCTGTGAGCTTTGTGGCTTTGAAGACATCCACAAATGGATGCTGATAAATTGGTATTTGATTCATTTTTATTTAAATTTAAATTTCACACCTATCTCTATCAGTTCCCATTTAAAATTGTCATCACGGGGTTTTGGGGTTTTGGGGTTTTGGGG